AACATCTTCCAGCTAAACTAGTCCTGACGAAGGCTAGCTCAAGATCTGGACATGGATGGGTCAAATGCACATGACCAATTTTCATAAAACATTCCTTCAGTTAATGCTTTTACGAGTAAGTCTTGTTTAAAAACACACTTTTACTCACTGGCTTTTAACTCGGCATGCGAATTTTGTTTTCCCCTTTATTTTTCTATTGCTATTTTGAGTATTTTTTTAAATGTTTTTTAAATTGGCTCACGTATTTTTTATGCGTGATTTTGTTAAACTGATATTGTGTCTATACTCTGTGAAGCACTTTGGAGACTTTGTGTTGGTAAAATGTGCTAAACAAATAAAGCTGGATTGAACTGGATACACGGACAATCTTGTAATCTTAACCTAACAGATAAATTTACGCTCTGAAATTACCAAAAAAATGTTCATGGGATGTGACTGGACATAGAGAAAGACTTCAAAACTGAGACAACTTCAAAAAAACAAAATACGCAATAAAACAAGTCTCTGCTTCAGGTAAAAACTTGTGCGACATAATTCAACATTTAAAAAGGCCTGATATTAAAGTGGATTAAATGAAGCTACCGAAAATGCGTTGAGAACCTGTCTTGGCTGGAGATTTGGTTGTACTCATCTGCTGGTCCATCCCACGCCCACGCTACAATCACTGCTCATGACCTTTGGCGTTCCTGGGCTAATTCATCACCACAGCTCCCCATTCTGGCCTGTCCTCCCCAGAGCCCTCCACAAACCACGGCTAAGGTCACACCAACCTGCCGGAGGTCACGGGCAGGGCCGTCGCAATCAGCGGAAATACTGCAAAAATGTCTAAATGTAGCTGAGACTGACTGTTTTCTGAAATATTAGTAATTTAAACCCTGCTAGTTAGGCATGTGGCGAGACATAATTTTCACAAGATGAGTTTAGTAGACACTAAACTGGGTCCAAGAGAACGGTACAAGACGAGATTTTGGCTTCACTATTTTTACTTATTTTATGTAATACTTTAGTGGTCATTGTATACTGCTTTTTAGAACTACAGCTTCTTAAATTGTATGAACTCTTAACTCTTTTTCTGTAGAAAGCCAAAGGTAAATTCAGGAGGAGCGTGCACGATCTTGTGGCAATTTTGTCTCGCGAGATCTTGTGGCACGAGATCTTGTCCCATCCCTTTTACTAATGCTGTTGTAATTATGGAGCCACTCAAAACTCAGCAATGTTTTTACCATTTTCTAAGATCAAATCAGGACAAGCTCTATAGAAACTGCATGACAAATTGACACCTGACTTGTTGAGTGCGCAATTGCATCGTAATCACAATTTGAGTCATCATCATTTTCAAATGACGCAAATACCTGAATCCTTTACCAAAAACAACATATTCTGTCCAATCCGGCAGCCCTAGTATACAGCATGGCCTATTTAGAGTGTTAGGCCTATTATTTGGATGTTACAAACTGCTTAAAATAAATCACTGACGCTACTAGACTTGAAAATTCCAAGCCCACTGAGTAACCAATATAAAGTTACATATTAGCGAAAGTCTCAAGAAAGGCCGAGTTCAAACCTTGCCTGAACATGTAGTGCGGCATCTACACTCCCGCTATACTAACATGGCAACGGACAGGGCATCTGGCTTAAAGATTACCCTGTAACTTCACCGTGGCATCCCTTATAGTTAAGATATCCAAGAGTTCAGGTGAGGATTTTAATGAAGTGTTTATTGTATTCTGTAAATGTTCATTATATTAAACCTTTGTCCATACTTTATTAAGGCTAATTTAAGTGTATTTTAACGCACTACAGTTTCTTTCTTGCATAGGCCACCGCCAGCTCCCGTCACCAGGCCCTGTCTCCCCCTGGCTCCCACTCCTTCCATATAGGTATAAACTGACTGCGCTTGGCCTGCCGTACAAAACAGGCTAATTTCTTCACCTCGCTATTAATGCATTTGGCAGGGACAACATTCCATTTCCTGTAATGAGATACACAAATAAATCTGGCTATGGGTAGACTCAGGGCTGTGGGATGCGGGCGGGCGGCGGGCGGGTGGGGGTGTGCACTGGAGACACGTTCTCTTCAGCGATTGTATAATTGGTATGGGTGCTCGAAGACATGCAAACCAATCTCCAAGCAGACTCTCTCCTTTCCCCCCTTAAGGCTATTTCTTTTGTCTTTCCGATGGCTCCCGCATCTTGGGTAGAATGTACGATGTATGGGTATGGGGAGGGTGTTAATTTGTGAATTAATAGCTTTCCCCTGTAGAATTGTAAGTGGTTCAAAATGTCAGTGGAAGCGTGTGAAGCCACAGTTTAGACCTGCACAATCTTAAGACACATAGATATATATAAAAAGCAATCAAGTATGCAAAATGTATACTTCATAATAATAAACATTAAACAAAATGAGAAATGCAGTAAATCAGAGGCCTGTTTTCTTCCTGTTCCAGCTTTTATATTACGCTCACATGGATTTTTACACCAGATGCCCTTCCACATAACTGAAATCTCCACAAATAACCAATTAACTACTTAACAATGTCACTTGCCAATTCAATTTATGATACCAACAATATTATATAGTCAGAGGCGGTGCTACCATAAGGCAAAAGTAGGCGGCTGCTTAGGGCCCCCAAACCTAGAAGGGCCCCCAACCAAGAGCAATTTGATTTTCTCTAAGTGTGTCATTAAATAAGAGTAGTTTACTAATAATAATCATATGTAATGGATGTAAACCAAAATATAATTGTACTAGCAAAAAATTAAAACTACTTTCAGTTCTGGTTTTCTAGTAGACTACCAAACTAATAATATAAGTTTCTAATTCCACCATACTTCAAATAAATGGAGGTGTGCATGAGTCAAGAATAATGGGGAAAAACAGGCAATAAATATATTAAAAAAACAAAACAAAACAAAAAAATGGTGCATTATAGTGAGGGGCCTCAAACTCAAGTTCAGCTAGGGCCCCCAAATTGCCAACTCTGCCACTGACTATAATACAAATAATGTAGGTCACCACTGCTAGTTCATAATAGCTGCGTAAAAGATATAAAAAAGATATTACATTGCCCAATACATATAAAAAAATTCACACAGCAAGACAGTTTACAATGGTGAACACAATTATTAGAAACTATATTCCAAAATTCGTCATAATCAAGCTAAGCCCTTACACAACAACTTCCCATTTAGTCTTTTTTTAGCTCCTCCCCTGCTTTATTCTAGCTCCACCCCTTCCTCTTCTGTTTCTAGGGTAACAAGCTATAAATATTACCAATAAATTATAGCCCAATACAACACAGAAAATGTTCAATTCAAGCAGCAAAATGATAATAAACTGATTGAAAAAACTGTAAATGATTCAATACATTCTCAAAGAGCGCCATAATCAAGCTAACTCTTTATAAAACAACTTCCTGTTTACTCTTGTTTAGCCCCGCCCCTGCTTTACTCTAGCCCCGCCCCTTCCTTTCCCAAATCCAGTGTAACAAACTATGAAACAACAACAATATATTCTAAAACTCAATCGCCACAATCAAATCAAGCCAACCCTTTATACAACAACTTCCTGTTTAGTCTCTGTTTACTCTTCTTTAGCTCCTCCCCTGCTGTACTCCAGCCCCGCCCCTTCCTGTCCCCGCGTCCACGGTAACATACTTTTAATTTGCGGCGGACATGACAAGGCCGGATGAATGGCTCCGATGGCAGCGCTGTCCCTGAGCGGCGCCGATTCGCAGAGCTGGTGTACATAACGCATGTCACACTAGATTATCTCTACTACCGCCCGATAATGGGACCTCAGCCTGAGCAAAGGGCAGCCACAACCACCCCACCCGCCGCCGTCCCCACCACCAGCCAAAACAGCAACAAAACAGCAATAACATACAGTAAGAAATCAGAAAACCAGACAATGTGAAACAGCCATGCAAAAGAGATACATGTGTTATAAGAAATGGTGAAAAACAGTGTTGGAAAGTCAATAAAATTCAGAATACTTTGGATTAACTGTATTCGACTACAGATATACTTTGATGCACATGGTATTTTTAAGATAAATAACAAAATATAGCTCTGGTATTGTGTCCATTTGCGATATTTCTGATATTATTTGTGATAAATAAATGCAACAAAAATAAAGCTGTGTTGCATTATGTCGCATTTTGACACTAAAATACAATGCAACTTGATGTGAAAGTATTTTAAGAGTTCAGAATGCAGTACTGGATCATGTAACAGTACACGTTTAATACAGTATTCAGTATTCTGTAACTAAATATTATAAAATGCAAGTGCGACACAATAAAAAAACGTACTTAACATAGCATAAACCGCAATTTGTGTAGTTAAAGAAGTAGAAGTAGGAGCAAAAACAGGATTTGTATATTGTGAGGGCCTTCAGAATAATTAATCAGGCTTCATAAATAACTTTTAATCTAATGACAATTCTCAAATGGTGCAAAGATTTTTGGAGTTTTTGTTTACATTTTGTTGTCAATTTTACAATAAGGAACTGGCAGTGATATTGTGACGTTACTGTAAAGATTATTGACTACTTTGCTTTTAATGTGTGCATCATTTTACACTTTTCATTCATTTTCTGTATGTAGGTTTAGTATTTTAAAAGCTTGTTCTGCCGAATACGCCCAAAATGATGAAAAGAATAACATGACTAATGTAATAAAGCAGTCAGAAAGGTGAGTTCAATTCAATTTGATCAAACCTTTTAGAAGCTGGCCTTAGCTGTAAATCTGACACAGGGCTCTAAATTGAACACACTGTGCATGACTGTGTATTGACCTGCATGCCATTACACGGAAAACATGATTTTCCAGTCATTCTTTCGTAATGTATTTAATTTCTCTGGATATGATGTATTGGAAAACCCTGTAATACGCCGGAACAGCATGGAATCAGCAGCAATAGTAGCAGCAGTAGTAGACAGAAGACAGAGATAGTGATAGTGACCAAAGCAAAAGAGAAGGGTGTCTAACTGGCACTTACAATGTCCTATTTTCCTCCCATCCAAGTGGTTGCCACTCCAGAGAACTACAGAGACAGAAACATAAAGGAGAAGGGGCCTGTTTTGATGAATGCTCTTTGAGATCATTTTCAACCACAACATCCCATCATAAACACACACACATACATAGAGACGTACACACATGTTGGCTTTCCATGCTTCTTTGGGACATTACATTCACTTACATTGGCTTCCTGGAGACGGATTCTAATCTTAAAGGGCCTATACTATTTTTTATTCCATGTTTTTCAGGAAATTTGCAGATATGTCGTATAAGCATCTATTGACATCCAAATAATTTCGCTGTGAACACTCTGGATTTAATAATAAAGCGTTATATTGTCGGGAAGTGCGTGTTTGCATGCTTGTTGTAAGCGTTACTGCGACGCAAACTCTGCTCTGGTCTATAAAAGTAGTTAAAAAGCACATTTAAACTCATTGTGGTGAATAATTAGGATGCTTGGAATGCGTAAGGGGAGTGAAGAGTAACTTTGGACCACTGCAGACAGTTTAAAACACACTAGTTTTTAAATGTTTTTCACATTTTACCTCCTTTAATCATAGTCCCTACTTGTCTTGAACGTTTTAACCATGCTGTTGATCTAATAATAACAACCTGATTTTTGTCTCCATAAGGAAGGCAGGTCCGCATGACGTTAGAGCGTGTACAGATTTGAGTCCCCACATTGTGATGAGTACGCGCCCGCACATAGACGCACATGGCCCCTCCCCGCCTGCCCCGGTCTGTTCCTACACCTGTTCAGCCCTCCACCAGGGACATGTTAATTCAGAGGCATTAAAAAAGCCAATTGTTTGCACAACCGATAATCTATTAGCCCTGAGGCAGTGTGTCCACTTTCTCGCCTCGACGCTGAATGAGAAACTCAGCCCGGATAGAATCTGTGAGCGGAGATACAGCCACAACATAGTGTTTTACTGTCTGCGCTTTACACTACAGATGACTTATTATTATCTTGTATTTTTATATGTTTTTGCATGTTTTAACTGTAACTTAATAAGAGGAAGTAAAGTCAGTCGAAAGTGTCTGAAGTTATTTCTTATCGCTTCCAAAAACTGTAATTAACACCGTACTTATATGCTTTAGAATGCATATTATATTACCATAATTATGCAACATTTTGAGGCATTTCAAAAGCTATTATATTTCATTTTTAATTGTTAATCATCATGGCAACAGTCAAGCATGTTTTTTTTTAATCATTCTGTCCCCATGAATCGACATAAGTAAACAGAAGACCCTAGTACATACATGTCAAACTCAGGCCCAGGGTCCAAATTTGGCCCGCGATATAATTATATTTGGCCCGCGAGATCAAATCAAATATGTATTAGAGCTGGCCCGCTTGATACAGATAGGCTATAGAGACATTATTTATTTAAAATTCACATTATTATTTTATATTTTGTTCTAGATTCAATGTTTAAGCAAAACTATTATTAAACATTTATTTTAAAAAGAAAAAGTTTAGCATTACATATCTCGAAAGAAGAGAAAACATGCAGACATTGTTGAAATCTTTCAATAAATATTTAGTTTGGTCCACGACTTAGTCCCAGTTTTTAATTTTGACCCTCTGTGAATTTGAGTTTGACACCTCTGCCCTAGGACATATTACATTATTTCTTTCTAAAACATGTTATCCGATTAATGTTTTTCAAATTAGTCCGATTCACGAACATCATTTTTTTGCGTAATCACAAAATATTCAAATTTTTGGCTCTGTAAGTTTCTGTAACATGGAAGGCATTAACGGTATTCCATTTCAGTTTTTGCAAGACTATATTTCGTTTACTGTTTGCGGTGCGATCTTAACGGACACTCAGCGTTACATATCTGTTTCATTTGTATTCAGAATTTTCTAGAAGAGGGGAAAACATCTATACTTATATCTAGCTAATCCTACTGATGGAGCCATATTGGGATGGGCATGCTGTTTTGTTGTTACCGAACACCCCCTGAGCTCCGCCTGCGTGGGATTACGATCTATGACAGCTATATGGAATCCTCTAGCTTCAAATTGAGATCTCGTCTAGTGTAAGGCGTATGGTAAAACGTTTGGGTATCAAAAAAAAAAAAAAAAACTGATTGAATCGCAACAGACTCCCAGCGCTCCCCCTGACTGCTACACAACATAACAAGTCACCAGAGACACAGGATGGAGAAAAAAATATATCCACTTGGCCTGGCGTGCTGTCATAAATGCCATCCTCCACAAATGTAGGAGGCGTGAATTAAAAAAGTGAAACAAAATGGTGTCTTTTTTTTTCTTTTTTTTTTTTCGTCTTACCATCATCCCTTTTCCTCTTCTCGCCGTTGGAGCGGGGGATGCCCAGGATGCCGTTGATGGAGTAGGAGCCCACGGGGTCATTGGAGGCGCTGGTCACCGGAGGGGAGGCCGTGCTAGGGACTGTGGAAAGAGGAAAGAGGAGAAGAGTTAGAAAGTTATAGCGGATATTAAAAGTGTAAGTTTCAAGTTTGGGAATGTTAGTTTAGTTTAGTGTGCCATGGCATTGAAATGGGGAGCCAAAGAAACCCAGTGCACTTTGATATGAGTAGTAGAAGTAGAAGTAGTAGTAGTAGTAGTAGTAGTAGTAGTAGTAGTAGTAGCAGTAGTAGCAGTATAGTACTATAATTTGTAATAATTAATACCAAAATTGTAAAATAGAGCACCGATTTATTCATAAGCTTATCCAAGTGTAATCGCAGTTGTTTCCAATGCGAAATATAAATTGACTCAAAAAGATTTTTAATATATTACAAGAAATTTTACAAGAAATATTTTTAAATGAAAAAAATAAAATTTAATAAATAAAATTAAATAAAAAAGTCCTGTTATAATAAAGTTGAATTTGTTTATTTTAAAATTCAATAATGATCTTTTTGTTTTTAAGTTTCGTCCTATTTTGTTTCCAAAGTCCCAAGTAACCAATCAGAACCCTGCACAGTCTAGCCCCGCCCCCTTTTATCATTAGAACTCCAAAAGACCAACATTGCATCTTTAACCTCCAATTAAGATTTTTATGAATTTTATCAACTATAATTAACAATTTTGTATATTCAAGACATGATTTTGTTTCCATTTGACTAATTCGATCTCACCTATAGTGTGGCCCGGCGTGGACAGCGGTGTCACGGATCCATCGGGCGACGGGTGAAACTGCTGCTGGACTTTGGTGCGGATAATCCTGGAAAAGTGCACAACAAACCAGAATCAATCAATACTCCTCAACGCACACTTTGGGATTCCCTTATGCGCGTGTACTACTAAGGGCCCTATCCTTGCACTTGGGGACCTCCCTTGTCACCGAATCACCAATCTCTGAGCTTTAGGGGCCAATCTCCGCTGGATTCAATCTGGCGTTTGGGGTTAGAAAATATGATAAAGTCTGCACGGCTCTCACAGTAAGATGTGAAGTGGCGGGGGGAAAGTCTTCATTGCACTTTGCTCGGAATGATCTCGCAAACAAAGCATGAAATCGCATCAATTCACCCTCAATGATGGGCTTCAGTGGCTCTACCTGGCCAAGTCTAATAATCTGCTCTCCTCTACACCCCCCTTGAGCCCCCACCCCACCCCCCCCTCCCACCCCACTCCCTCCCTCCTCCTCTTTCTCTTTCCTGGCCGCGAGTCCCCTTCCAACCTCTCTCTCCCTCTCCTCCTCGCTGTCCAGCCCACAATAAAACTCTTTCACAGCTCATCTTAGCTTTAGTTCATTTTTCCTCTCCTCCGTCTCCTCTCTCTCTCTCTCTCTCTTTCTCGTTCTCGCTGTGTGGGATAGCGGAGGGAGGGAGGGATGGAGGGAGGGGTGAAGCGGGGGGAGTCGTAGCAGGTAGGCTGTTATATAGAAGAGCGTAGACCACCCCTCCGGGCTCATGGTGGATCACAGTATTGATCAGGACTCAGGCCAGAGAAAAGTTAAAGGATGGATTGCAGTGTGTGGATGCAAACGCCGAGAGAGGAGTTGTAAGTAACAGAATATAATGCGGTGATTTCAGAAGCAGGGGTTTCGACTGGGAGAACTTGTAATAAAAATGGAAAATGTATCACCGAAATAAACAAATTCACTGATACAATTATATATTTGTATATTGTTTTTAACAAATCTCAATAAAGAACTATAGAAGCAACCTTTCCATATACGCATGACTAACTTAAATACTACTGCCCTGTACTACATATTATTATTATTATTATAAGTACACAAAACATACAGTGACGTCTACTGTTATCATTTTCAATATGGATAAATTACCGTAAATTTTTTTGTACATACCCACAAGTTGTGATCTTACAACAACAACATGTTACATTCATTCATACACTGAATAAAAACTTGGCATTAAAATTGCGATATTTAAATAAAAAAATATACCTACAGTACAGCTTAAGTATATATTAAACAAATCTTAATCGTAACATTAAATTGTGAATCCGCAAATTGCAATGAAAAGATCTTGGCTTATATTATTACAACTTCTATAATGTTACTTCAAGTCCTTTTACGAAACTGTTTTTTATTTATGATGATATTATTTTAAAAAATATTCAAACACAAATCTTAATCGTAACATTAAATTCTGAATTAGCAAATTGCAATGAAAGGATAACTTAAGTGTCCTATCTTGGTTTATATTATTACAACTTCTATAATGTTACTTCAAGTCCTTTTACGAAACCGTTAGTTTTTTTAAATTTTGCCATGATGTTACTAAAAACTATTCAAACAAATTTAGCAAATACTGCAAAAAAGAACAGCTCCTTTTCTCGAACATCAGGAAAGCACAACTCTTTTTAAAGTACACTCCAATTTCCATAATGACGATAATCCTTTGCCATATGGTACACCAAAAAAAAAAAAAAAAAAATCACTAATTTAACAAAAAAGCAACTCAGTTTTCAACATCCCAACCATATTTTAGATTCTTTACAATTCAAAGTTATTCCACAGTGGCTTTTATACACCACTGGGACTTCATATCATCACATTATACTGTACATTTGACTGACAGGTGAACAACACGTAGCACCCGCCCAATGAGAAATGACACCTGCCTACCCGGACAACTACGGGTTAATGTCCCCGGGGTCAAATACGCATAGCAGTCCTGTACTATAAGCTCTCCTCGTCAATATTTTATTTGAATTTCTAACATGGCTTCACAACAGTTATTCGACCTCACGAGGCGTAAATCCAAGGACTTTGTTTCCAAGTGTATGTTGGTGATATTGAATAAGCAATTGTGGAGAGCTTGAATTAACGACTATGGGGTAGGGAGGGAGAGAAAGAGAGAACGGAGGGAGGGATAGAGAGAGGGAGAGAGAGAGAGAGGAAATACCCCCAAAGAAATATTAAAATGGAGATCGATATGATTGAGAGGCAGCTTAGGGAGGTGGTTGGTAGTAACTCCACTCTGGTCAAGCTGCAACAGAGCGACGTGCAACCCAGCCTGTGTGTAATCTTTAATAATGCATGCAGGAAAAATGTGTTTAAGGCCAGGACATCCTCTTTAGTGCAGGGAGCAGAGGGCAGGAGCTAACCACTAACCGCACAGACCACCACCAGACTGGACATGGATCCTTATCCCAGGCACTACATATATATACATATTTAGAGCTTTGATTTTACAGTCTTATGTAACGTACTGTTTGATGATTGGTAAATATATGGACAGACGGACTTTTGTAATAATTTGTTTAAGAATTGGTGCAACAACAAAGTACGTGGCGGTATGTTTAAAGTTATATGCGAGGTTAAACATTGCAAAAATGTGGATAGGCCTATGCAATTTGGAACCATATACATGCAACTGCGAGAAAAGTTAAGATAAAAATATTAAAATGATGCAAAAAAAAACCAAAACTATATATATATTTTTTTTTTCCACAAGAATGCAGCAGGAAGAAAAACACATCAAATATTTTATGGTTTTGCTTCAGCTATTTATACATTAATACACATAATATAACTTACTTTTATCAATAGACTGGACAATATTGTATATGACTTTAAGCAAAGTGTAGCCAATGTTAAACTTGTCAATAATGATAATAATAAAGATACAATATACATTACATACACGGTTTATTAAAGAAAATATTGATTCAAATATTTGCTAATTTGTTTAGGAAAATATACTTATTTAAATTATTATATTATACATTTCTTTATATAAAGCAAAATGCATGTTATACTCACACCTACAGATTTTAGTACAATTTTTTGCGTTTATGAAAACACCAATCATTTTTTCATAATTAATGCGCTTCTAGGCCTATAATATATCGTAACGCGCAGCCTTACAGTAATAATAACATTTTAAATGATATAAGCCATTCCATATTCTCTCATAATGATCCAGAGACAACAAACACATGACAGCGGGACGTCAGAGCGCGCTAATGCCGTTTCTCGGTGTGACGTGTCGCCGTGATGAGTGATTAGTTCACGAACAACAGGTGAAAAGCAGACGCAGCGCCACGAATCCATTAGAACGGCCTCATTCTCGTAATAACGTGTCAAATCCGCGCCTTTCCCCCGCCATCCTCGCGCCCGCCGCGTTTAGCTGGACGTGTTATGAGACTCGGGTTGGCCTCATTAAAATGTAATGCCGATGACCAACTCTCTGGAACAGTGCCTCCTAAGCAAAGTTCATCACTCGCGCTGTGCACTATGGGGCTTTGGCGTTTTCCAGCCTTCCTCTCTCTCTTTTGCTCTCTCCCTCTCTCTCTTTCTCTCTCTCTCTCCCTCCCTCTCTCCCTCTCTTTCTCTCACTCCACATGCTCCGGGCTTTCTCTGCTCTGTGTGGCTTCTACAGGGAACAAGAGGTGTCTACTTATCAACTCCAAATCGTGTAGACCCACAAGTTACTTTTTCACAACCAAAATTCAAATATTTCGAGCCTGCCGTTGATTAAGAGGCAAAAGGGCGCGAAAGACACAATGACAACAGAACTTACTGGTCTAAAAATAACTTCTTAGAATCAAATCTCAATTTTAACAGAAGGAAGGCGTATAAATTAATATGATGTATTTCTGCTTTTGTGTAAAAATAAGTCTTTTTGGTTTCAGCTGTTTAAACGTGTCTAGTGTTTTATAATGCCTCTGCTGATTTTTTATTATAATTTTTGTCATAATTTCTCCTAATTTGCTTCTGTTTGATAGGCCTATATAACTCAAATAATACCCAAAATGTCACTTAACCCTTATTGTCCGATCTTAGTATTTTACTTTGTATGTTAATATGCGTAAAAGCGAAACCAGGCCATTACGCGGCACTTTTTTGGAGTTGGCGGGGATACAGGGCAGTTAGGAGGCTGCTGGTGAGTGGAGCGCTGTCGTGTCGCAGTGTGGTCCGCGTATTGAACGGCTTTGTTGGGTATTTCCCTGTGCCTCTGGATCTGGTTACGCGCTATCGATCGGTTTTTATCGAGACAGATGTGATCTCTCCTCGGCGCTCGGCGTGCGCGCTGCGCTCGTGGAGGGCCGCAGTGGGGATTGAATTGCACTTGGGGGAGACCACCCCAGCTTCTTGGCACCATGATAACCGCAGCATATTATCAGTAAATAATATGGTGCGTGAGTAAGAGAGCCGACAGAAAAGTAGCCCGTCTATCCTCTTAACATTTTTGAGGTGGACTTTAATGGCACTGTGGACCTACCTGTTGATGGATGACACGCTGGGCACAGTGTCGTTGTCGCATACGCCCTCAGCCAATAGCCGGTCTCGGATCTCCCACGCGAACATTGTCGGGTTCTGTCGTTTATATTCGGCTATTTTATCCACCACTTTGGGAGTCGCCACCTTTGGTTTGGAGCCACCTATGACCCCGGGTTTAATACTGCCGGTTTCGTAGTACCTGCGCGGAGGAGAAGAGGACAGTTTACCGGAGTGAGCGGCTGGAAAGTGGAGTGTGTGCTTGTGCCTAATAGTGCTCTTAAGGCTGGTTTACTTATTTATTCAAACAGTGAGACGCACAGAACAAAGGCCACAGAGGAGTTGGGGCTTCTGAAGCAGCATGCAGCACATGCCACCGTGTCTCCTACAGTGTAGCTACACAATGTCAACATTTAGTGTGTGGAAAGAGTACCTCTGAAATGACTTCTGATAGCTAGGGAGAAATATATGTAGAGAAATTACTCTCAACATTTGGGATCAGAACGAGCGTCCTACACTTAACGCTAAAGTCTCATGTGAATGGTGCGTTCATGCTGGTCATTTCTAAGATAACAAATACACTTTATAATTTACTTTAATTGTTCAAAATAAATGTAAAAATTATGTTTGTGTGTTCAAAATGTTTTGCATAAATTATAAAACGCCTTATGGGCTAACAAAATAATAATTGTGAAAATGACAGCAATTATAATATGTTTCTATCTTTAAGAAGTCACGGCCTCACGGTCCATATACACCCAAAAACGACTTTAGTTTCATTCTGCTATTAATACAGCTCATTTTACACTTAATGTTTAGCTGTAAATTTTTATCTCATTTTTTTCCTCAAAGGCGTTTTGTGATGGGACGTAAATGGAAGGCGAGGAGCCATCTAAAATGTGCCTGGTGTAACCGCTGTGTGCTGCGGTGAGAGAGCGAGGCGTGCGCGTAAGATTGATGCCTGACACGGTCCTCTCTCACACACACATTCGGACTGGAACCCTTTTACCTGCCGAGGATTTTGCTGACGCAGCCGTGGCTGACCCGGAGCTGTCGGGAGATGTCGCAGGGCCGCACGCCTTGATGGGCCAGCTCCACTATCCGCTGCCTCACCACGTCCGGGAGGGGTCTGCCGTTCACAAACACCCCGCCGAGCTGGTTCACACCGCCGTGCCCTGCGTGGGATACAACAGCAACACAGGGGAGCATAACATTACATACCTGCAGAGGCGGCGCGCACGGGACCATTGTTCACAGAGCCACACACACAACACACACGCGATACGGATTTACGTGAAGTTATTTGGCTCCAGTTAAAATCTCTTTTAGTCTTAGTCAAGCCCTTGTGATTCATGGAAAATTAAATCTTTTATGAGGTGGTACTTAGTTTGAAACTTTTAACACAAAGCGTTATATTTTATCCACCGACCTGCGCTTTTACGCACACTTTTACGCGCGTTAACTTTTCCTACTATTCTTTCATTTGCATTTGCATACAGTTAGTAAAAAAAAGTAGCCTGCAATATATTTAACTATGAAAAATATATCTGCGTTTTTTATGTATTAAAAGTGTAATAAACAGCCCCATAATGAAATGCACTAAAACACATAAAAGGAACAATGAAACCGCTTGTTTATTATTAATAATAAAAAACATTAAACCGCCAGACAATTAATTGCACGCATGAGTTCTTTTTGAATAATTACAAATAACCACGTATAAATATCTTTCGTGTGAAATAATAGATCTAAATGAGTATAATAAAACGCTGGTGTTGTTTGTGCCCTGGTTAGTACAGTGATCAGGCTGCTCGGAGTGTTTCCAGCTCCCCTCTCGTCACTGCCCCATTGCAGCCTAACACATGTCGCTCATATTACGTTTCAACCTGTTTAATTTTCCTCGCACAATAATTGTAAATAATTAAAATGAGCTTTGATAACTCATATTACAAACGCGAATGGTGCGAATGAGGAACGAATCAATAATGCATAATGCGCCCGGGTCCTCTTCTTCACCCATATCGTATGGAGCAAAACATGGCCATAATAAAGACGCACAGGGGACGCTGCCTTATTTTTATTTTCATTTTAGTTTCGGTTTTAGACGAACACATTTTATACGTTTGAATATAGTCAGGCTCATTTACACACAACGACCTTCTGTGTCCACAGACACTGTCACTGCCGAGGTGACAAAGATGTTAATAACAACGTACATTTGTATTACACGCCTACGAAAACACTCATGATAACATCATTTTACTTACAAAAACTAAACAATATTAATAAAATACAATTACTGCCGAATTAAAAATATAAACAACTCTCCAAAAGACACGTGGTTCCGAGTGAGGCCAATTTTAAAATAACACAAAGAGTATTTTAGTATTAAAAATATATAACCTATTTTACGCACAATATTTTTACTAAAATAACGAAAATATGAAGTATGTTTTGCTTTTATTTCCTCGATTGAAAAGGTTACAACTTTAACGTTTTAAAATAATGAAATTATAATCATAATTATGTTTGTTAGAACTGAAAAGAAAAGATCCTCCTTTCTCAGTTTTACCGGAAAAGCCCCGATAAAACAGCACGGTGATTGCTTGAACATTTTGCTGCAAACTACTGGAGAATACTCACGGTGCATCGCCGAGAAGGGGTCTGCTTTGCAGTGAATATCCATGGGATAGCAGAGGAAAGAAAGGTAATCGACTGAGGTCGCCGTCTCGCCTCGATGGTGCAGCTTGAATACGCGTAAAAAAGGGAGCCTCGACGGTATCGGTCACACAGTCCGTGTGGAGCGGTCCACAAGTTGTCTGCGCCAGGCGGACTTCTCTGTGCTCCTGTCAGAGTCTGGAGTCAGGAGTGAGAGTGTCAGGTGCAGAGCATGACCCACGCGTGTGCACAGCGCGCCAACAGCGGCAACAACATGGGCTCCGAGCGGCTCACAGCTCGTGTCTCCAGCACATCGTGACCGTGAGGAAAAGCACTGTGAATCCTGCGGCTGGAGCGGAGTATCCGGAGCGGAGCGTATCACACACGGGCGGGCTGAGAGCGGAGCGGCCGGGCACAGGATCCCCTCTCTCTCTCTCTCTCCCTCTCTCACAGTGGGCTGTGCTGAGCGGAGCTTTGGCTGAGAATGAAAGGCTGCGCTGTGTGTCTGTTTGTAAAAGCTGCAGTCACAGATCCCCCTCCCCTCTCCTCCAGCCCACAGATCCGCGCGCATAGAGATGGATGACTTGTCAGACAAAGGCAATAGATTCCAACACTTTGTGATTCGCCCACGTAAAAAAAACTGCAGCTCAAATGAGGAGGTCCCTGCATCCGACAGCCAGGAAGGGGAGGGAGACGAAATGGGAAATGATGAGACTTTAGGGTGAAGAATCAAGGAAATTAAAGGCAGGGGGTAGAAGTGAGGGACGCTACTGTCAACGCGCGCGGTGTTTAAGAAGAGGCGCTTTGGAGCTGTTGTCTTTGGACTCTCGAGTCAAGAGACTGACCCCACACGTTTTTACTCTCACAATATCATCATCTAAGTGAGCTTTAAGGTGTCCAAACCAGACACGACAAGACAAAGGACACAAGTATCCGTTTAAACAATTAGATAACTGTGAGTAAAATAATGGCCTTCGGGCCTGTCAGTGTGCTTCCATTTGAACAATAAGGATTATTTAAAAATATTTACTGCTCATAAAATAAAATAAAATAACGAGACAGTTCTGAGGAAAGTAGACACTTTAATGTTTGTTTTGAATGATGAGATTTAGTGACAAATCAGAAAATAACTAAAAACATGTTCCTCACTAAAAAGTCAAGAGTGGTTTGCGTGCTTGTGAGTGTGCACGTTGTGCACGCACGGTCAGGAGCAGGTGTAAGGTGCACTCATCCTCCTCCTCTTCATCATCACCACCACCACTGTCCGCGCGCGCTCTGTAGATGGCGCTCACACAGAAGCTTTTACGCACAGCGGGACCACGTCCACTCCACTCTTTCATCCACTCCTCAGCCTCTCCAAACCACCACCACTACCGCCGCTGTTTCTACCGCGCTCCGGCCGGGTCAGAGGTCGGCCCGTAAGCCTACTGTAGCTGAATTATGGCGGCTTAATCTCTTCCGCTGGGACTCAATCCAAAGCGAAACAAAGAGAGAAAAGCTCGGGTCTAACAGGATTTTCAAAAGTCAATGCTTTGTGTCTGGGAAAAGGGAAAGTGTTTGCCTTTTCGACGTGTGATCTGACTATTGGAACTTGAGCTGGATTTGGTTAAACGAAATCCAATTAAGTTAAATTGTTTTATAATTATAATTTACTTTTTATATTTTTTATATTGAGAAAAAGAGCCAACAATTTGTACAATGATACTAAAATGTCGTGCGTAATGTGCTTTTCAAAGAGTGGGCAAAAGCTCAAGTATTGGATAAGAAAAATTCACACACACAATTTCTAATAATAATAATAATAATAATAATAATAATAATAATAATAATAATAATAATAATAATAATAATAATAATAATAATAATAATGACCGTGTGTTGGTCCACTTGCCTCTGGACAACTTTGAGGACGATCCCTCTTTTTGTGCGTGACTTTTTTGGGGCTGGGAGCTTCTGGTACAATATGTAGCACCATGGGCAGTAATTTCACACGTCGGTGCACTTTTGCCCTAAAGCTGCTGCTATTTCCCCCACACACACAACCACAGCCCCGCCGATCTGCCCCCCGCGCGCCTCCTCGGAGCGCGCTCGGCTGTGCGCTGTGTACCGCTGACGTGCCCGTGTCACCGCGACAGCAAAACAAAACGCGATGATTAACAAAGTGCCAGGGTTTAGTCCTGAGAGCAAAGGGTAGGCTTCTTACGCTGCTTTAAAGGCGTCTGGTTTTCTGCTTTGTTTTTTGACCCCATGAATTATATTTCTGTTCTTTTTTAACACATGCCAAACTCAATTTTTAATTTTCACTATATTTAGACTACTTTTTTTTACACTTACAAAAGATGATGCCTGTTTTAAGCAGCAATTTATAAGCAATTAAACCTACTCCTGTTGACACAATAAACGCCTGATTTACAAGTCATTTGGTGAGTTATTAATCGACTAATTCTGAAAACCAAAAACCTTACAATTAGTGAAAATGATGTATTCAAATTTTTGGCATAAATGTAAAAATGCAAAATTTAAGATTTCAATACACTCAAGAGGGATACTTCTTGTTTAATTTAAATATTACCAGATTTAGAATTTAGAAGATTTTTTAAAAGGATTTATTATTATTGTCAGGTTAAAAAAAATACATTTTAGCTGCTCCCTGGTCAAACACCAATAAAGATGGAAACATGTTTATAATTTAAAAACACATCCACGCCACATATACATAGTTCAACTGCTAATAATATAACTAATAGTACATCATAGTAGTAAAACATAGTGCATATTATAAGAAGATTTCGTGGAGGGGGTGATAAATGGCATTAAATAGAAAGTGATTTTTTTCTGGCTGAGACATATGGGCTGTAATGCGCGTTCACGTCAAATATCGATTTTTTGTTGTTCCTTGTGTCTTGTTCCTAGCTCCACTGCCTTGCTTGTTCTATTTTAATACACTGTCACATTAGAAGCTCTGGCACTATTTGGCACAACCCAATTTGCGTGCGTAAAAGTAATGCGTAATGGCTGCACGAGACATATTTAATAACCAGCGTATTTTTGGTCATATGAAACAGGGCCTTTGATCCATGAATAAAATAAATACCGTCTCTTTCTGTTTATTTCACTCAATTTACCACGTTTAGCACTTACAATAATAATTCCCTATCCTGTCCTTGGACCCACTCCATCCCTATTAGTCCACTTATGATGAGCTGCAGCCTGCACGTGGACCCCCCCCCCCCTCGCCCCTCCGCGCCCCTCCGTGACGCCGTGGGGCCCTCGTGACACCCGCTGCCATATGCGCAGGGCCATGGCACAACTGCGCGAGGACATCAGCTGCATTTGTGCGTCTCCGCTCTCCACCCGCGCGCAGATGGGTATCAATTTGAGTCGATATACCCGACACTGGCGCAGATTGATTTTGTACTTGCTTTTAATTTCGCCATAATTAATTAGATCATTACAACTGTTTCGCATTGATCTTCTTCCCATCTCGGCCCCAAACTGGAGGTGAATTGCACTGCGGGTTGTGTTTTCAATTAGTGCGGTGTATAGGGATAGTATTAAGTCATAACATAATAATAGGCCTAATGGCTGGAAAGTACACATAAGTTGCAGTACTTGAGTAGATATTTTGGGCTGATCAAATTGTAGTCTACTTTTTAAAGTAGATTTTTAAACACGCATTGTACTTGATACTTAGATAATTGAGTATAATTCTATCCATGTAATTATAATTAGGCTAGTCGTTAAAAGATCACTGTAGTAGCTGCTTTGAGTATTTTCATGTTACTTTTACTTAAGTACAATGTTGGCAGCTACTTGTAAGTGACAGTAATTCTAAACATGTAATTGTAATTAGTTAAAATAGTTTTGAAAGTTCTGACTGGCACTTTGAAGTATTTTTTATCCAGTGTAATTTTTATTTTTTATTTATGTAGCCTACAATTTTGGCAGCAGTTATACTGATTGAGTATTGAGTACATTTTAATGCTCATGTAGTATTCATGTAACTGTACTTTTACTTTTAAGTACAAATATTCGGTATACTCTTGTGTTTTAATAGCAACTGCAAGCGGGACTCGTGTGCGTAAAACCTTGGCTTTCCCACAGAGCTATAAAGACGGGATTTCTCAGTTTTGTCAAGTGCAAATAAACATTGACATTTCCGACTTTTTTTTTTTTCTTTTTCGTGGAGAGGGGGGTCCTTACCTGGCGGAGCAGCGCTTTGAGCCATGTCCAAAGCGTCCTGGCTAATGGTGCATCTTCCTCCTCCCCCCCGCACCCCGATGCAGCCCACTAGATGTGTCCGGCCTCCTGCGCGCCCTCCCCGGCTGGCCGTCCTCCCTGCCTCCCTGCCTCCCTGCTCCCTCGCCCGCCTGGCTCCCTCCGCTGCTGCCGCTGCTAGTGCGACAACTCGGAGCGCCCATCCAAAACTAAACGGTTTAGGGCGACAACAAGAAGAGGAAGAAGCAAGCGTGCTCCAATGAACTAGGCATTGATAAAGAGTAAAAAAAAAAAAAAAAAGGTGAAAAATCAAAGCAGAAAAGCGTAAAAGCGTGGTGCGTAAGAGAGGTGGGAAGTTACTTAAGTTGAGGTTTTCCAGTCACTAAATAGCAGCTAAAATACAAGCTGTGTTTTGCAGTGTTTTGGAGGCCTTGGAGATTTGGATACAACTTTTACGCACGCAGTTTTTGCTCCAATTATTGAGTTATTCTGGGTGTCAGGTTTGAGGAAGAGACGCTGGAAAATAGAGATAGATGATAGGGTTAGTGCATTGTATAAATATTCATGAGGCTCACCTTATATGGCACAAAATTGGCACATTATCCAAAAGTTAACAAAAGATAAGATTTTAGATGTTAAATACACAGTAATTTTACAGTCCAGTAGGTGTAGAAATGGGACTGGTTTAGGGAATATGGTATTTGAATTGGAGAGAGGATTCAAGTAAACATAAATAAATAATTACACAACAAATAAACAACACAAATACAGTTTTGTGGTTATATGAATTAGAAATATACACAGAAATTAATACATAAAAGACATGAAGGGGTGTATTTGGAGATCCTATCGCCAAACTATATGCCCAAAACTTAAAATATAAAGATGTGTCACTGTATAAATATTAATGAGACTCAAACGGGACAAAACTGGCACATTACCCAAAAGTTAA